TGTGATGCCATTAAGCTAAATGAGTCGTTTGTCGGGAATTTTCATTTGGAGTTTCAGGCCAAAATAGGGCCCCTTCATCACATCACTTCATCACATCTCTTGGTTTTTTAACTAAAGAAGGCATCATCATGCGGTTTTCTCAGCAGTAATGCTGAGATTGTGCTCTTTTCAAATCTGTAAAAAAAAATGTGTCCCAGGGTTGACAAACGGCTCATTTTGCTTGATCGCATCACATATATGAATAACTATGCAAGAACGCCATCATCAAGTTGTTACATTTGTCGCAACCCGGTCGATTACGTACTTGTCTTATTCCAGCCGCGCCGATGGAGTTCGTCATCAAGTCTAATTTTTACCCCAATTTTTACCCTATAATTTGAGGCTTTGGGGATCTTCTTTATTTAAGGGCAATAAGTCGGGAATTTACAAACAGTACTAACCATAAGATTGCTTTGTTCTTACAAACACAAACATCAAATATCATGTTCCTTTAATAAATTATTGTAATAAACATAACAAAAGGTCCAAGTCAGTGATAGTCATCGCACAATTTTATTGCCGTATCTCATGAACGCAACAGGCTCAATTCAAAACTTTTTTTTTTTATTGCAGTGTATGTTGCGTCATGATGACACTAACAATATGCATTTTTTTTTCAACGTGCCCACGTCCACACAATGGTTCCCCATTTCTGAAAAACAGGTTAAGAGGCATTTTTGGGTTAAGTTTATCTGTGGCAGAATAAAGAGAAAAACACTAAAGGGAATCATAGAAAATAATTGGGTTGAAAGAGTTTTCACAGTTTGAGAAAAATGATTTTTTTTTTACTGGTTTTTCTTCACTACACGAAAGCAATGGAAAGTCCACACAAGGTATGTAACTTAAACCTGGGTGCGTGTACAACCACTGCCTTTTGGGGTACCGGAACAATGGGAGGTACCCCACAAGGAATGCCCATCGACTTGCGGGGTACCGTTTTGGTGCCCCACAAGTTTTTCACGAAATAGATATATGGATTTTACTCAAAAACTAGGAATTTCCAAGGTGGGTTGATCTGTCGCAAATGGAAGAGTTTTAGAAAAGGGATATTAAGTCCGAATTTCAGCCCTGGAAATTAACTATGGTTAAAATAAGAGCATTTTGACACAAGTGTGTGACGTTGCAAAATTTTAGTACACAAGAACTAAGGAAGTACCCCACTTCTATGCCTATGTCAGCGTGTGTGGATGGGTGTGTGTGTCCGGATAAATCTTGTCAGCGCGATAACTTGAGAAATACTTAACATATGAACTTCAAATTTGGTTTGTGGATTGTTCTTGGTAATCCTAAGAAGCCTATTGCATTTGGGGCCGAAAGGTCAAGGGTCAAGGTCACAGTGGCTAAAACAATAGAAATTTTTTCAGCGGGATAACTTGAGAAATACTTTACATATGAACTTCAAATTTGGTTTGTGGATTGTCCTTGGCAATCCTAAGAAGCCTATTGCATTTGGGGCTGAAAAGTCTAGGGTCAAGGTCACAGTGGCTAAAACAAAAGAAATTTTGTCAGTGCGATAAGTTTAGAAATACTTAACATGTGAACTTCAAATTTGGTTTGTGGATTGTTCTTGGTAATCTGAAGAAGCCTATTGCATTGGGGGTCGAAACGTCAAGGGTCAAGGTCACAGTGGCTAAAACAATAGAAATCTTGTATTTATTCTTAGATCATAGGGATTAATTCATATAAAACCTACAGAAAACACTAATGCTGTCAATGAACGTTCCATGTGAACAAGGTACATGTAAGTTGATGTTAAAAGAGTGGTGTTATGTCATGGGAACAGTCACGGTTGCGGGGCATTTGTGTTTGTAAACACACCTGACTTGTTTCTTATTACTTTTGTATTTGACACTGTTTTGATCGGATCCACTCCAAGATTGGTGCAGACCAAGACCACATTAACATATTTTGATTTTCTATAAAAACAAAGTTGCATTCGAGTGACATTAAAATCAGATTTTATTTTAATATGTATAGTTTTCCAAGCCACATAGACTTTGTATACAAAGCAGTGTTTCTCCGCGTTTCCCTGTTTCCTGTATATATTAGGCTATATGTAAGTTTCGAACGCAAATGTTATGTAGTACATGTAGGTGACATTTTTTCGGTATCGTGACAGACTGCTCTAAAGCACCAAACTTGGCAGATAGATTCTTATAGGCCTAAAGAAGTTATTAAGGAGGGGTGATACCTGAAATTCTTTTGGGAAGGGTGCCTAATTTGCCAAAATCGTTAATACCTGCTGTGTAAATATATTTAACATATACCCATATTTGGGTATATTTTAATTTTTTTTTATTTTTTGAAAAGTATATTACCCCAGTCACATCAGTACAGTCCTGCTTTAAGTTTTAAAAGAACTTGTCTTGCTTTAAGTTCTAAAATAACTTGTCTTTGGTCTCAACGTTTCGACTAGCCTGCTCTAGTCATCGTCGGGAGACTGACGATGACTAGAGCAGGCTAGTCAAAACGTTGAGACCACAGACAAGTTCTTTAGAAATTAAAGCAGGACTGTTCTTATCAGAACAAAAAACTACTAAGCAAAGTTGAAATAAGCAGGACAAGTTCTTTTCAGAACTAAATATCTTCTATGCAGTAGTTATTACCACATGGTGTTACCGCAAACCGAAAAGAATAACGTAAGAATGAAACAAAAATAATCAAGAACTAGGTACGAATTGGAAGCCGAATCAGACCGAATTTAGCTGAATGATTGCGATTTAGTGCAGAATAAAACCGAATTGTAGCCATTTTGTCAAGAATAACATACGAATAACTCGAGAATCATCCAGAATGATCGGCATAATAGTGTATTCGTAAGTTATTCTTATTATACTCGGACCTTGCTTGATACATTCGTAACGATTCGGCATGATTCTGGACTATAAACACCAAAAAATAACTCTACAAAACTTGTAAGAATGATATCCAGAATGCTGTAAGAATATCCAAAATTAGTTATGAACAAAGCAAGAATAAACCAAGAATTGAAATTGGTTCCCAAATCACCCCGACAATTTTGAACATGTCCATAATTGTCGGGGCGCTTCCCGATCTTTAACAATCTTTTACCGAACTACCAGAATCATCCCGAGGCAGTCAAGAACCATCCCCGATTTACTCAAGAACGGCTATTCGCTGCGATTCGATAAATTCTTATGAAAATCTGGATAGTTCAGCATTGTGCTAGGGTCACACATTCCCGATTTTTTAAGCCGAACTGCCGCGAATAGCCGTTCTTGAGTAAATCGGGGAATGGTTCTTGACTGCCTTGGGATGATTTTGTTAGTTCGGTGAATGATCGTTAAAGATCGGGAAGCACCCCGACAATTATGGACATGTTCAAAATTGTTGGGATGATTCGGGAACCAATTGCAATTTTGGGGATTATTCTTGTCATATTCGTAACTTATTCTGTTTATTCTTACAGCATTCTGGATATTCTTACGGCATTCTTATAAGTTTTGTAGAGTTGTTTTTGGTGTTATAACAGTCCAGAATCATACCAAATCAATGCAAATGTATCAAGAAATGTCTGAATATTATACGAGTAACTTACGAATACACTAACTCGGCATTATTCTGGGTCATTCTGGATGATTCTTGAGTTATTTGTATTATATTCTCAACAAAATGGCTACAATTCGGTTTTATTCTGCACTAAATCGCAATCATTCAACTTGGTTCGGTCTGATTCGGCTTTTAATTCGTACCTAGTTTTTTTGTTCAAGATAGATGGGCGTATTCGTGGCAATAATTTGGGAATGTGTGACCCTAGCATTATTTGTGATTCATTCTTGCTAATGCTAGGTTTACACCTTTACCGTGAGCATACAGGATCTGAAACATTGTTGGTCTGTCAACAGAGTCAAATGCTTTACGGTAATCAATGAAAATGATGGCAGCTTCCTTCTGGTGTTTACAAATTTCCTCAATAAGGCGCCTGAGGGCAAGGATTTGAGAAGAAGTTGAACGTAGAGGCCGAAAGCCACTTTGATTGGGACAGAGCATCTTCTAAACTTCCAGTCGAATGTAATTTAGAAGTAGTCAATGTCGGGAGCCGCGAGGTGCGATCCCGGGGATGGTGGTTAAGGTTGCTCGCCACCGGGGGTGAAGAAAAGCTTCCTCTCGGGAACAGACTTCAAATTTTTCCAAAACGATATTTTATTCCCAGATCAGACTTGCTTTTGAGCACAAACGAAATATAACAAAAGCAAAACCCCTAGAGAGAGAGAGTGAAGAACAACAAAGTTTGAGTAATCTTACTCCCTATGTCGTGCATTAAGATAAGTTAAAAACTTATTCCAAGGTATTTAAAATCAATATTATAATAGCTCTTTTAAAGTAAAGATACTTAAGTACACAAAGATGATATGAATTTTTTTTGTTTTTCCTTGCGTTAAATATAGTTTGACTCACCCATTGCAGTTAAGAAATAAGGTCTGGTTCTATGATTTATGCCCTCACACTCCAGCCATAGGATGAGGCCTAGTAGAACATACTACAATGTACCAGGTGAAGCCCTGTTAAGTTTACAAGCAAAGAAAAACTTCATAGGCTAATATTAAATCATGGAAATGCCTACATAAAAGTACATGTACAGGCACGTCACACACTGAAGTACAAAAATCAATAAAATCAATACAACACTGACCATGGACGTCTAGCGTATAAAGTACAGCGCATATGCACACATTGCATGATTTGATGAAACAAGCCTGACCCGACCTCTCACTAGAAAGTTTAGTATTTTCTCCATCCTAATTCACATATCAAACTAAGACATATACCAAAGGTCTCTTGAAAATCTTGTTTTTACTATTATGGGAGCCAAAGGGGATGTTCATTATAACCAAATGTTTGTAAAAGCAGTGTTCGTTATAGTGGTCTTTTATTGCAACTATGTGTGCCCTATGTGAAGTTGATAATTTAAACAAAACATAATTTATTTGTGATAACAGAAATTGAAGAGGCATCACAAAATCAAGAAATCAGTGGATGTAAAGTGCAAGATCTCAACACAGTGTAAGTATTTGTGTTGTATTGCAGTGTTGTAGATTCCATGAAAAGTGAAATTGCAAATGTTAATGGCATTTAGGAGAAATGAATGCCCTCTTGCTCAAATATGTCATTATATCATTGGGTCCAATGTGATCTTAGTTTAAATATACAATCAGATCCAATGCAATGTATAATTTAACAATTTTAGAAATGAGACTTCATCTAAAGCCATTGCACACTAGAGCATCCATCCCTGGGGCGAACTTGCCCTGGGTCACCCGGGGTGACTCTCAACTTTTCATCTTCAAGTTAAAATACCCATTGTTACAGACTTGTTTCCACGAACCTTGTTCATCTCCCCTCAGGGCGAGTTCGCCCCAGAGATTTGCCGAACATTGCGAACTCAGAAGTTTTCCACCCAGGTGGCCTGTATAAAAATGCTGAACTCTTCATTGCTGAATTCAGGAAAACATAAAAAATGTGACAAATTTGCCTTTTCAAATGTTTAAATGTTTAAGTGGACATGTCCATACCCTCATTTGAGTCATGACCCTACTTTTACTTGTGCTTCATCGTGCATGCTATGGTCTATTTAAATGTGACGTCATGAAACTGATAATCTACTCGATAAGCACAAAAGGTTTGATAGTACCACACCATTGTCTGTTGGGTGGGGAGGGGGGTGGGTTAGGGCTGGAATAGCTATTCTTAATTTGCTCTGGGTCAGATGGGGGTCAGGGGACCCAGGTCAAATGTCAAAATTTTCGGGTTTAATGAACATTTCTTGCACAAGTGCCATTTTTGGATTAAAGTGTTGAGATTGACCCTCGATACAAAAAAAATGTTGGATAAAGTTACTTAACCAACAGGGCGGATCCTGGGGGGGGGGGGGGAGAGCAAATGGGGGCCATCCCCCCTACCCCCAACGAACCCAAGTTTATGTTTTTTTTAATAAAGGCAGGCACTGCATACACCACCATTTGTTCCTCAAAAACAATTGGTTAAAGTGGTCAGAAATTGCCTCATTGCACCACAGAGCATCTAAATTCAAAAAAAAATGGGGGGCCCTGAAGTGGGCCCCAAACCCCACGCCGTAATTTTTGGGACGGACTTTCGGGGGACCAAAATTTGTTTTGCCCCCCCCCCCCCCCCCAAAAATTGTGTTCTGGATCCGCGCCTTGCTTAACCAAAAAAATAGCCCCGGAGGTCGTGATAACACGCGCTGGCTGTTTTTTTACACAGGCATGGCTGACGGATTAACACGTCAAGATTGCCTCGACCTGCCTCTGGGTGATGTCTAAACACGCTAATCCCTCGTGCCTTTTGTACACACACAGTCCATGTAGTCTGTGGCGGCAGACCATGTGCTAACCATTGTGTTGGCCGTTGTGCAAGGCCTATTGTTTTACAATTAACGCTCCAGTGCACAACCCGGAATATATCAGGTTTTGGCAAGAGATATCCTACAAATACTGTTGAAATGACTCTTGCGAATCAGTATTTCTGGCGTTTGACTGTATATCATAAGTTAATTGGGAAAGTTTGTGTTTAGAAAATTTTGAAATTTTCAGTTGGGCTTGTTATCCCCCATGACTTGATGCCAGCTTGCTCAAATCAACGTGGTATCTGGTGAATGAACAAAGTTTTAAATAAACAAGTTCAAGCTGTGGCGAAGATGCACACAAATTATGTCATGAGTTCCATCCATTAATGAGTCCGAGTATAAGAGATTTTGTCACAAAATGTTTATGGCATAAATCGAGGATTTTCCATTGTTCCTCTTCCCTCTTCCTTTGTTTAAATTTTTTAAAGGGAAGAGGAACAATAGAAACTCCTCAATTTACACCATAAACAAACGTGGGTGTTTGTGTTTGCTGTTGGTACATGAATGATACTTTGGAGCGTTCTGTCTTATGATGCACAGTTTGCAAACAAAGAAGGAAGATCTTACACTGAAGGCTAATGAGACGGCACGTATGAAACATGAAAATGATGAAATGGAGTTACGTATGAAACAGCTTGAAGAAAACCATCAGTAAGTATTTGAACATTCTTAATGTATTACTGCCATATACAACCAACTCCCATTAGTACAAAATCAGATAGGACCAGATTCTGGTTATAAGAAACATGCATGTCTTCATATTAGCCCCATAAATGTGGCCAATTTACTGGACTACCTCTGTTAAAAAAAAAAGGCCTGTCTTGGAGAATTCACTTAAACTCTTCGGACATGTTTCCCAAGTTATTTCCACATTCAGACTTCAGACCCAGTTCATTTATGCTTTCAAAATACACTCACCCTCTTAATAACAAATTCAGAACTTGCTGCCGATGTCAGTTGCCCAGCGTTTGCGTAAAAAATCCAGCCAAATGTGGACGATTCTTGACATCAGTTTGTGTGTAACTCAATTGCAAGCTTGGTCCGACTAAACAATGCAAAAATGACCTCGCACGATAATCCCAGACTTGTATGACTCGTGACTCGGACTCGAGTCCGACTCGAGTCACATTTTTAATGACTCAGACTCGGACTCGAGTCACTCTTACTTACGACTCGGACTCGGGGCTACGGACTCTGACTTGGACTCGAACTGACTTGTGACTCGACGGAAATTACCGCACTGCACATGCGCACATACGTAAGTCGATCTTTTTCTTTACTGTGCAATACATGTACAGGGCGCTCGATGCAGTGCGTGCGTGGCTGTGGCCGGTTACTGATATATTGATTAAAGAAATCAATGTACCGAAACTTGTACCCCGCCGTTCGCACGTAATACTGCATTAGTGCAAGATAGGGTAAGGTACCAAACTTTTCTTGTCAGACGTCTTGTCGTTCACACGTGTATTGCTGTCACAATGCGATAACGCGAGGTGACTCGTGACTCGGACTCGGACTCGACCTGGAGGACTCGGGACGCGAACTTGGACTCCAGAATGTGACTCGAACTCGGACTTGGACTCGATGTTTCGTGACTCGAATACAAGTCTGGATTATCCTTTCTGTATAGTGTGCCCTCATGCATGTACCCTCAGCCAGCTAGCTGTACGATGTACATACGATATACCACAGGAACGGAATTGCCGCCGCTTTGTACTTAAAAATGTGCTTTTGCCCCCCCCCCCCTTGCACACAACAAAATAGGGTAATACATGTATGTTTGTCAGTGTTGTAGTCGAGGCCACAACCTCCGAGGCCGAGGCCACAACCTCCAAGGCCGAGGCCACAACCGCAAGGCCGAGGCCACCACCTCCGAGGCCAAGGACGAGGCTGAGGCCGAGGCCAGCTATCAAAACATGTAATAAAATATATATCACTAAAACAAGGCTAAGATTATGTTGGAGTTTTAACATCTTTTTAGTTGAATTCACTGAGTTTTGGAGTGCCTGGCTTACAAATTTACAGTTTGCAATGGGTTTCCTCTTGTTGGGAGTCCGGCGAATTTTATTTTTTAAAGAAAGAAATCTCAAGTTTTGTATCACTGAAAGCAAATTACACAACAAAACCAATGGCGTTTGAATCAGGCTCATAGGTGTTTGCCCTTTGGAGATACAACAATTTAAATGGCCAAATTTTGAGTTTCTATTCTGTAAGATTTACATCATTTACTTTTAGCATGTTTTATAAATCTTATTTTCAAAACCTATCAAAATGCTTAATTTCATAGGAATCCCCATTAAATAAACAACAACTTGATTTTTGAATCAGGTTTTTACCACTCATAACCAAAAAGTTACGACCCCCCCCCCCCCGACCTTCGCACTGTCCAGGCGCGCGCCGAGCAAACACCGCGATGCGACCAGACAATGCCAGACGGCCCGCCGTTACGCACGGGCAAAGCATAGTTCCAATCCTGCTCCACACAACGGGATAAGTGTCTACGCATTATCACTTTTAATACCGCGGTACCAGACAAAGTCTGGCAATGGCCAATCCCGCTCCAAACAACACGGCAACACGGAACATGCGTGCATGGTATCACTCAGTTCATCAAAACGACGATGAATTCTCGGATCATCCGATTTGAATCCAATGGCTTCGAAGAATTTTAAGATCATGGCAAGAGGTAGGGAGTCCAGAGGTTTTGGCCGTATATCTGTAACCACGCAAAATTAGTCAATTTCAAACCATGCTTATACATGTAATAAGTATCAACATGGCTCTAAAATACAAAAAAGTATCCTGGTACCACAAGGAATACTGACTCCTATTATTAAAACATTCATTCAGAACTTTGCATTCATTTTGATGGAAAAAACGAATTTTGAAATCGCGCTTTCCATATCGACCATTTGCGCCAAACATTACCGTGTGAGCCGGAACTTTCATTCAAATCACTGTGTAAAAATAAAATCTACTTGATAATTCGTAATTGTTTTTATCATATCTTTATGAAACAAAAATGGTACGGACTAGTACACTCGATCGTACCCAGAAAGTTCAGACTTTTACTGAAACAGTGGCCTATAAAAAGAAATGATTAAGCTTGCCGCACCTTGCCGCAAATAATTTTTAAAGGTCGGGGTACAGAGGCGAAACGAGAAACTTCTGTACAACACTGCAACCAGACTAGTCTACTACCACATGTTATTGTACGCAAATGGGATTGGTGCCAGACTTATGTAGTCTGGCACGCGGTAACAGTTATAACGCTTGCACGCATGTGGAAAGCTGAAGCGCAGGCTAGGCGAAGATGCTACTTACGTGAAACGAACGTGAGTACGTTCAATGCAACCATTTCCAGTTCATTCGTGCATACATTGTATATGCGTTCGTTTCACGGAACCCATTGCGGCAGAATCTCGAGGGTTTGATACGGTAAAAAATTAAAATTAATTAGAATAGAAAACACATCAAAATTGGTGGCCTCGAGCCGGCCTCGACCGATTCGCCGAGGCCGGAAGGCTCCGAGGCCAAGGCCGAGGCCTTGCACCTTCGAGGCCAAGGCGGGCCTCGAGACCTCCAACACTGATGTTTGTGCCTTCCACTTAGTTTGTTTATTGTGCTATTGTGTAATAAGGCTTAAACACGGCATGACTGATCAGTCTTTTCTTACTCTATTTTTTTGTTTCAATGGGAAAACTCACATAATGGAAATTTTGGACATTTTATGCCACTGTAGCACCAGAATATGTTGGTAAAATGTTGCCAACATGCGAAGATTAGTGGATGTCTCACACTGCGCATGTGCAGCAAGTAAACCCGTAAGTGACTACACAGGCAATAGGCTATGAACATAAGTGAATACACATTTTCTGTTGTAACAAAAAAAAAAAGGTTTTTGTTTCCCTGTTCTATGCAAAAGCATTTTTTGTGACCCATTTATAACGATTTATTACCCCTCAGCCGAGAGGCTCGAGGGGTATTGTCATCGCCTACGGCGTCCGTCCATCCGTATGCTCTGACCATACCATACTTGTTGGGTAATGTTCCTTTCAGAACACATCTCCCCACTATTTTAACAATAGAAAAAATATCACCCCAGAAGAGGATCTTTAGAAAAAGGGATAAAAGGAACACAATGCTATCACCCCACAATTCTGTCTGGCTGGGATGTCCGGGCAGCTTAGTTTCCGGATGATAACTTGAGTTAGAAGTGTTGTTTGGGATTATAACTTCGGTAGGGGGTTGCCCTCAAAGAGTAGGCAAGTTGGAATTGGTTTTGAGGTCAAAAGGTCAAATGTCAAGGTCACCGTGGTGAGTTAAAGGTAAATGGTTTCCGGATGATGACTTGAGTTAGAAATGAGATTTTGGTGTCTAGCTTTGGTAGGGGGTTGCCCTTGGGAGTAGGCAAGTTGGGATTGGTTTTGGGGTCAAAAGGTCAAAGGTCAAGGTCACCGTGGTGAGTTAAAGGTAAATGGTTTCCGGATGATAACCTGACTTAGAAATCACATTTTGCTATCTTACTTCGGAGGAGGTTGCCCTTGGGTTCAGGCAAGTTGGGATTGGTTTTCGGGTAAAAGTTCAAGGTCACCATGTTGAGTTAAAGGTTAATGGTTTCCGGATGATAACTTGACTCTGGCTGAGGGGTTTCAACAGCAATGCTGTTATTTTTGTAAAACTACCAGAGTTGTAACAAGTCAAGGAATTTTGTGACTCGAGTTGACTTGAGTCTTTCCAAGGAAGTGACTAAAGTTGCATCGAGTCATTAGGTCAAGAAGGTGGAGTCAAGTTGAGTTGAATCACAGTCAAATATGTGCTCGAGTCAATTTGAGTCACTGATATTTGAACACCATTTAATAAATTGCAGAATGGAAGAAGGGACAGAAGGCACCAGTTTATTATGAAGATCCAAAGACTTAAAATATGCTGCATGGTACCCATAGACAGCTTCTGCTGGACATTTCTACCAAAGATCTACGTAACAATCATAAGTGAAACTTCAGTTTTATCTCTTGTTTAGCTTTGGGTCCGTAATAATGTTTACGCTGTCATCGTCAAACCAAAATTGCAACAAACGAAACTGTTTCTGATTACAGTCGACTCCCGTTATAACGAGCACATTCTCCCAGTCCCGATCAATTTGTGTACATTACTATGGGGGAAATATTTGGTTATTACGTGCACGGACATAACGAGACTTCAGTTATTACGATGATTTTGGCCTACCCAATGGGAGGAAAAGCATTGTTCTCAACCCATTTACAACGACATCTTTTCAAAACTACGGGCATTGCAGCTTGTCAACGACAGACCTTTTGTCCTGAAATGGGTATCATGCTCCCGCCTTCCAATTCAAGCAACACACTTAAGCTTCACCCATCAATGTACCTTTGTAAAGACTTCAACCCAACGTTATTTCATCTCGCCGATCTTTATCAATAAATTCAATGGGACTGTGATAATAGGCGCAGTGGACCGCTGGTCTAGTCGCTAATCCCCCGCTGCGGTTCCCTTAATAGCATGAGCAGGGTTTGAAGTTTGCTCTCGACTGCAGTACCACGTTTCTAGATTATTACAAACGGACAATAGGGGGCGCTCAGGAGATAAGTGTTAATGAATAGCCTTTAGTACTGCCGCCCGAACATCGGGTGCGTAATTGCTCCCTATTGTTGGCTTGTGGCTATTAAAAAATATGTAAAAGAAAGAATAGCACCATGTCTTTTGTTATTGCGTGTCAATCAATCTGGGCCAACTGGGAATATAAGGAGGGGGATTTTTTCCCGAGAGGCCATACGTTTATCGTACTCCATTGAGACAACTGTCAAGATTTTTACTGCAATGGCTTCAATCAAGAACAAGCGAAAGGGACATTCCATCGAGACCAAGATTGAAATCATCAGGGCCGTTGATGCCGGACGCAAGAAGGTTAATCTGAAGAATAAAAAAATTTAAAACAACCCGGAAGTAATATTAGCACCCTCTCTTGCCCGATTCCAGCAAATGCAAAACGAAAGCAAAATGTCACTTGGCACGAATGTGCGCTATAGTTAACCGAAATAATTACAATTTCAAAGAATCCCTTCAGAAACAATAATACCCAACTGCTCTAAAAAGTCAACAACAAAAAGTAAAGTTCCACATCTAAGGATCAGGAGTCACTCAAATCCGGAAGTAATACATATATTGGCGCCCTCTCTTGCCTGATTCCAGCAAATGCAAAATGAAAGCAAAATGTCACTCGGCACGATTTGTGCGAGTGACCTACTTGCCTGATTCTTCTCAGCGATGATGCCTTTTCCTCCGGATTCAGGTCCTCAAATATTAAACAATGTTCCCATAAAGGTATTTTATTTATTTCATTTATTCATCACCATCAGTTAAATATTTAAGATACATTAATGACAGACGTACATACCAACAAATGACCATCTTTTCATGTCTTCGGACGTGCGTTACACGATTAAAACACGCGCGCACAATGTACCGTACCTTGTGCACAACGAATGGGGAAAACTGCGCTCCGGTTTTAGCGAGGTTCCGGCTATAAACACAGTATTGTGAAAGTCCATCGGACCTCGTTATAACGGGAGTCGACTGTATATAGAAATATATCTGAATGGGTGATTCCAGTTATTCGGGTACCAACTTGTGACATGCACATATTTGGCCCTAAATGCACAAATCATCACTTTTTATCATTTATTTTACAAAACTCTCATGTGAATTTACATATATGGGAAGTTTCTTGAAAATAGTGGTACTTAAGTTCTTTTCAAGGGTCAAAGTTAATGCTAATCCTCAAAATGTCTTGTTTTGTCGAAAAATTATGAGTTTCACGTGTAAATGGGACACCAAAATGTTTTTTGTCACATTAGAACCACATTAAAATCTATTTTATACCATTTATGGCAACACAAGAAAAATAAAAGAAAATAACATACGCACCATACTAACGCACAATTCCATTGAAAGTAGCAAGTTACAATTGGTACCCTTATAAGTGGAATCACCCATTTTTGAAAAGCTGGACATAAATTTAGCCGGAGTTCCATTGCCCGAGGCCGATGATGAAACCAAGAATTGGGAAATGTGTTTAAAGTCTGGTTCTAGTATAGTAGTTTTTGCGCTACATTATAAAGCCACGAGGTGGAAGTCTGGCTTACATCCGGTGATAAGCGGCAACAACTTGACGATAACGCGAAGTTCACAAACAGAAATAACTTTCTTCTTTAAGTCACCGCAAATATTTATACTTTTGCCAGTGTTAAGACTCAAGCGTTATTAGGCGACTCAAGTTGAGTGGAGTCTTATAATATACCGCCTAATATATACACTTATAATATACACTGAGAACAAGGACTCCTGAAAAACGGTATTCCAGAGAGGATTATCTATTTCTACGTATGGCTAGCTAATTTATTTGCCTCAGCTTCCATTTACTTCCTCTGCTTCTTATTTACAAGAATGAGCACACACATTTACATCGTCTCACTAACTACAATAGAACAGGACATATCAACAGCAACTCTAACCACAGGTTACACTGACAGTGCCCTACATCGAGGTATATTGGTTGCATGTGGTTTATGTACATAACGTCGCACTTACATAAATTATCCTCCAAGCAACCTGCTCGATCCGGCACTTGCACAATTACACTCCTCAATACACAACTCCTGGCTCCTTGAGTAATTAAACTGCTCAACTTCAACTTCAACTATACTCGAAGTCAGCTCTGCTCTAACTACCCCCGACCACTGAGCTCTGCTTCTACATGTAATAACCTACTTGAACAATTATCCAAAATGGACCCAACCAACCCCTGTTTTGAAAGTCTCTACAAACAAAATTTGGTCCCAAAATAATGGTCTCACTATAACCATTATTTTTCCCTTCCTTTCAGATAATTAAATCTGTAGAAGTTTCCAAAAGTGCTCAATAAATACATGTGCCTGTTTTTCCCCTTTCTAGTTTAGATTCTTCCACAAACCCCTTTTTTCGCTATCACAACATTATTTATACACTTCAAAACACCCTGTCAGCCCACTGACAGCTACACATGTATTTTTTAACTTTTTGCCTATGTCTTGATGCGCTTGACGTCCCTTGGGTCTCCAAACTTCCAGTTCCAACCCATTAGACTACTTCGTTATGGAGACTTACTCCAACCACCAGTCCTATACACATTGAACCGTTACCAGGCACTCACCCTGTCCGCCTTCTGTAGTTCAAACGTTCACCAGATCCATTTGCGTTACAGTTTGAAAGTGGGATTGAAATACCTGTATTATTTTTTAGTGAACATACGTGGTTCAACAGTCTTTGTGGGCTAACATGAAAATGTATGTCGCAGGTCAAAGTTTACGGCTTTGATTGGATATCGTGTAATTTATGCGCATCAGAAATTCTTGGCCGATTCAGCCTAAAATGTAAAGAAACACATAAGGAATTCACCACGGTGCGTCAAGGCTGTCATCTGCCTCGATTTACTGTACGACTGTTTGCAGATGTGTTCGTGGGGCGTACGTGTAGACAAGGCACAAGCAAGGGTCGTTGAGGCTAACGGTGGTATGGAGTATGGTAGCAGGAACAAGCTCGTTTGGGGAACAAGCTTGACAGCCTTGGTCAAGGCTAACTGGTGTTCAATCCTTCTTTCATTCTGTCATTTATTATGGTGCTGTGTTCAAATATCAGTGACGTAAATGACTTGAACATATTCTGACCCGACTCCACCACAAACTGCGACTTGACTCGATTCAACCATCTTGATCTTAGGACTCAACTCGAGTCACATCCTTAAAATTGACTCGACTCGATGCGAGTCACAAAATTCAGTGACTCGTTTCAACTTTGCCTGTGCCTTGTGTTTGGCTAACAATAATGAAAAATAAATAATAAAAAAAAAATTAAAATAGAATTATGATAGAATTTATGAAAGGTTAGTAATTATACTTGACATAATTACATATTGTCTATGATCACTGAGTTGTATTAATTTGATGTAGAAAATAATACACAACCTTCTATGTTCTTCTTCAGGGTTACTGTTCAACTTCTGGGCAAGCAGATCAGTGATTTCCGAGATATACTGACAAGGGAACAGAAAGAACGTTTCGACCTTCAAGAGAAACGTGATAAGCTAACTAGAGAAATGGATGACTTTAAGCTTGCATTTGGCAAGTTTATGTCCGAGATGAATATGCGAATCAACAAGGCAAAGCAGGAGCAAGGAGATCTTTCAAGTGAAGTAAGCAATTACTAGAATGCTCAAAAGTATGTGCATAAAAACACTTGATGTCGTACCATGATGTGTCTGGAACTGTGGGTAGTTGAGGCTATACAGGGTGTCTCCAAAAAAATGTCCCTCTGGAGGGTGTACAGAATTCTCGTAACTTATGGAAACAAATTCAAATCAATTATAGAATTGATGAGCCCAAACCATTTTCTTTCTTATGTGAGTATTTTGTTGGATTCGGTTCAATGGTGTTGAAAGAAAGGCAATTAATGTAACATCAGTCCATTTAGCTCCATTCCAAGTTTGACAATACATACACAGGGTTCGAAATTAGCGGTAGCCTGCCAGCCAAATGCTAGTCAAAATAGCGGCGGGCTAGTCAAACTATTCCTTAAATAGCCCGGCTGGCGAGTGAAACAATTATTTGGATACGGCAAAGATGAAAGGACAGGAAGAAATAAGTCATGAAATTTAGAAAGCAATTTGTGTGTAATTTTATCAACTGTTTAAGCCCTCACTTTTTCCACGATACGCTTGAAAAAATTTAACCAAAACCATAAAATTCGGACCACAGGTTGCCGCGGAGCTAAAATTTGTCCGGAAAACATGATGACGTCATCAAAAATGCAATATTTCAAAACACATATTAGGGAAGGTCCGATCGTCATGAAATTTAGTGGATAGGTAAATAATGGTACTGGTATGCAAAGGTTGAAATGATATCATAATGACATCATTGGCTGATTTTTTATGAATTTTGGATTTGTTAGGAATTTTTTCCTATTACAAAATTTAACACTATTTTTTATCTGATCGACTTGGTGCAGACCAAGACCGCATTAACATATTTTCATTTTTTAAAACAAAGTTGCATACGGTAGACATTATAATCAGATTTTTATTTCAAGATGTTTAGTTTTCCAAGCCAGATAGACTTTGTATACGAAGTAGTGTTTCTCCGCATTTTCCTGTTCCCTGTATATGTTAGGCTTATGTATGTTTCAAACGTATGTATGGGTGTACATGTTGTGTGTACAATGGCTCGGGTCATTTGTGAAAGTGATGCAGTAATTCCCACGTTTTCCTGTGCCCTGTTCATAGGCCACACGTAAGTTTCAAGCATATGTATTTATGTCATACATGTTGTGTGGGTGAAAGCAATCTGACTGCTAGTGTTTTTACAAGGTTAATGAAGTTGAGTTATAATTTTGCATTTTTAAATGCATGCGAAGTGCCAAGTTTGCCGGTATGTCAAGTACATACATGATCTGCCTGCGTTACGGGTATATGTCGCATACAATTGGGTCGGGTCGTGGGTATGTATGAGATGGATGATCAAGGATGATGAAGTTGAATTCTAACTGCAGTTATCAATGCAGGGGAATTGGCCCAATTGGCTGCTCAGTTGAAAGCTTACAGCCAATTTGCATGCATACAACAGAATTGTAGTACTCGTACTCGGTACTCGTACTGGAGTACTACTCGAGTACTTTTTTAGAGTACTCGTACTCGTACGTCAAAGTACTCGTACTCAAAATGACGGTACGGGCCCTTGCGTAGCAAAGTACTCATACTTGATACGTTGAAATTGTAATCAATCATCAAAGTACTCATACTTGAATAGCAGTACTCAAAAAAAAAATGGTACAGCTTGACTTACTGTGGCCTTATTTTAGCGATTCTTTCAATTTGAAATGGTGGATTGGCTGGCAGAGAAATCAAAGTTTCCTGATTTTCCTCTGTGCACTTCTGGACAAACACATTTAACAGACAGTCTAAGTACTAGGTACTCGGAAAAAAGTACTCGACTACAACACTGGCGTACAATTTAGTTGGGTCACTGTTGTACTCTAACAGCTAGTCTTATTTCAAGGTTAACAACTACAATTATCTAAGCTATTGCACAAAGCTCTTTTGTTTCACAAAATATTTACTTGAAATGCTATTGAAACTTCACACAATCATACTTATTCAAATAAGTGCTCAGATAATTTGTCTCATTTCAAAACTAAACATTTTGCGTTTCATTCAATCTAGTTTGTCAACGAAGCAAATTCGTTAAAGATAACAGGGAACGTCACATATTGAAACTTCCATATTAAATTCCAAATTTAGCAAACTTTGACGTAAAATGCACTTTGAACTTTTAATTTTTTAAATAATTTTCACAATTCACATGTACATTAATATAAACTCAAAAAGCATAAAGTCATACAAAAACATAATGCAGAAAAGCCCTATGTTCTGCTTCAAACAGACATAGACCTCTAGTTTCCTCTGGTTCCTACCCCAATCACATAGACTTTGTACATGTTTATTCACCACATTTTGAACTTAAAAAACAAACTCGTATTCTAATGAAATCTTACCTATGTTAAGACCCCATAGTGAGTTTGTGTCCCAAAGAGTGACGTCATTCTTTCAATAAAAAAAAATTGACATAGTATTTTTTTACAAGTATTTTTTTTATAAGAATTCTTTTTAAATGCGAAAAAAACCTGTGTTCTGTTTCAAACAGACGAACAGACATATTTGTTTTCTTATTTTTGGCTGTTTTGCAAAAATTTGCGAAAAAAGCCTTTCTTTTTGTTCAGATTTTTTTTTTAAGTTGATTCGGTGTACAGCTGTTCTTTTGTTAATTTTTTTTAACTTTTCCGCTTGGAAGCGGAAAAGCATTGTTTTTGTTCTGATTTTTTTTCTTATAATTGTTTTTGTTCTGATTTTTTTTTCTTTTTTCCCCCTACTTTTTCTTCTTGTTCTATTCCAAATCCCATAGACTTTGTACATGTTTTATTAACCACGTCACTTTTGACCTAAAACAAACTCGTATTCTGATGAAACTTACCCTATGTAAAGACCCCATAGTGAGCTTGTGTCCCGAAGAGTGACGTCATGATTACGTCATCATGGGTCACGTGACGTCATCTTAAACATGCAAACTTTAGAATCCCATATCTAAAGAACTGTAAGTCCGATTTGGTTGAAACTCAGTATGTAGGTAGACCGGGATGTGTTGTATGTAAAAATTGAGGTGAGGTCATCATGATGTCATGGTGTGATTTTATATCGATTTTTGAAGTTTTGGACCTTTAAATCCATGTATCACGAACGCAATATGCTAAATTCAAATTCTTTTTGTATTATGGTTGTTAGATAACAGGTATATTGACAAAATTGTAAAAATTGTGTGACGCCATTATGACGTCATCAAAAATGCAATTTTTTTTAAAACACGTATAAGGGAAATGTCCAATCATCATGAAACTTGGTGGTTGGGTACATAATAGTACTAGTACACAAAATCTGAATTGACGTCACAATGACGTCATCGGTAGATTTTTTAAGATTTTAAAAATATTTACAATTTTATTCTGCTTACAAAATTTAACACTTTTATTCATTTGATTGGCTTCAACATGCTAAATTCAAAATTCTGTTTGTATTAGGCTTGTTAGGTAAAATAGGTGTCTGCAAAATTTTTTTTTGAAAATGTGTGACGTCACAATGACGTCATAAAAAATGTGATTTTAAAAACACTTAAGGGTAAGTCCGATTATCTTAAAACTTGGTGGGTAGGTAGATAGTGTTAATAGTATGCAAAGTCTGAAGTGACGTCATGATGACGTCATCACCTATTTTTTTTTATTAATTTATCAACTTTTTCATATTTTCTTCTAATACAAAAATTGGACAAAGTATTTTTTTTAAAACTACATGTATAAAGTACATGTATTATTTTAAAAATGCGGAAAAGCCTGTGTCCTGTTCGTCAAACAGGCATAGCTCTAGTTTTTTTTTCTTTCTTTTTCCCCTCTTGTTTCTACCCCAAATCCCATAGACTTTGTACACGTTTATTCACTGCAGTATTTTGAACCTAAAACAAACTTGTATTCTGATGAAACTTGTCCCATGTAAAGACCCCATAGTGACATTGTGTACCGAAGAGTGACGTCATGATGACGTCATCATGGGTCACGTGACGTCATCTTAAATGTTCAAAATTTAAGACCCTACATCTAAAGAACTGTCAGTCGGATTGGGTTGAAACTCGATATGTAGGCAGACCGGGATGTGTTATAGGTAAAAATTGAGGTGACGTCATCGTGAAGTCATCATGACCTCATCATGTGATTTTATATCAATTTTTGTTAAGTTTTGGACCATTAAGCCATATGTCACGTACACAATATGCTAAATTCAAAATTCTTTTTGTATTATGTTTGTTAGGTAACAGGTATATTCACAAAATTGTGAAAATTGTAAATGCGATTTTTTAAAACACATATAAGGGAATGTCCAACTAATATGAAACTTGGTGGGTGGGTAGATAATAGTACTAGTACACAACATCTGAAATGATGTCACGATGACGTGATCGGTAGATGTTTTGCGATTTTTTAAATATTGACAATTTTATTCTGCTTACAAAATTTAACACTTTTATTCATCTGATTGGCTTCAAGCATGCTAAATTCAAAATTCTGTTTGTATTGGGTTTGTTGTGTAATAGGTGTCTGCACAATTTTTTTGAAAAATGTTTGACGTCACAATGACATCATCAAAAATGCGATTTCTAAAAACACTTATAACGGTAAGTCCGATTGTCTTGAAACTTGGTGGGTAGGTAGATAGTGTTAAAAGTATTCAAAATCTGACGTGACGTCATGATGACGTCATCACCTATTTTTTGTTAATATTTGAACTTTTTACATTTTCTTCTTATACAAAAAATTTGACAAAGTATTTTTTTAAAGTATTTCTTTACATGTATTATTTTGAAAATGTGGAAAAGCCTGTGCATAGCTCTAGTCTTTTTTTTTTATTCCACCCCAAATTCCATTGACTTTGGACACGTTTTTTTAACCTTAGCATTTTTAACCCTAAACAAAGTCGTATTCTAACTAGAGGTTTGTGTCAATTTGTTCATTAAACACTGCCGAGTTGAGTTATGAATATGTTTATGTAAGAACAAGAATCACGAAATTAAATCCTTTCCAGTACAATCAATTATT